GTGTTTTGTTTCTCATAATGTCTGATTGTAAGATAACGTGCTTACCAGAGGAGATAATAGCCATCAATCTCAGCTATAACGTTATCACTATTGAGGATATCATTAACTTACGATGCGTGTGCAAGCAATTACGTTATGCAGCCAAATATGACAAGTTCTTGGAAAAAAAGTTATTTCAGAGGTAATTCTTGTGATTTGTAAATCTTTTTATTTCGTCTCATTAACGCCTGTCGCACAATGTATATCACTTCTGCGAAGAACGTATATTATAAATAAATAATAAATAAAAAATATTCGAAAAATTAGATATGTTGCATTTATGTTGCATATTAAATTATTCGCTTTCATTTTTTTCTATTGCTCAATAATTTTGGCAAACTCTACCGTTATATATATACATATATAATATACATACACACACACACACATATATATATATATATATATATATATATATATAAAATGTAAACGTTAAATATAAAATACTGAAAAGAATTCTTAATTCTCGGCTGTCGAAAATTAAAAGACCAAATAATTTTCAACCGACATTCGTCAATTGATGTTTATTTAATTAATCACACAATGTTTCGACCACGGTGTTTCGACCATATAATTTTGGTCCTTCGCACACTTAACAGTAACACTTGACAATAACAAAAATTATATGAAACATTGTGTAATTAATTAAATAAATATTAATTAGCCTATATATATATATCGGTCGAAAAATATTTAGTCATTCAATAATTTTTTTTAAATTTAAGTATTAAAAATACAAATTAAAAGTAATTTGGTTTATTTATTATAATGTGTATTCTTCAATATATTTAATTGCATTTTTAAATATAAAAATATATATGATATATATTTGTGATAAAAACAAACAGATTTGATATTTTTCTATCGGTTCTTTTTTATAAACAGCATTAAAATCACAATAACATCTTTATAAAAATAAAAACATGCCAGGTGACATATATAAGCACAGTCGACATTGTTTGTATATATGCTTTCGAAAAAATTGTTCTACATAATATTAAAAAAAAAACTTAATTTATACATACACACACATAAGCACATTAATGTTTATTAATTGCATATAGAATACACTTATAAAATTATGCAATATACATATTGGAATCAAAATTTGAAAAGAGAGAGAGAAGAGAGAGTATAAATTAAATTACAAATTAAAATTGAATATTATATATTTTCTTTTTCTGATTAAAGTATAAAAAGAAGTGACATATATATATATATATACTCATGATTTGAATTGTATACTTTAATAAATTTATTAATTTGAAAAATGACTTGTACAATCACATTGTTTACTATCATCAAAGTTTGCTGTATGTTATCTAAATAAAATTAAATGGAAGAACTGTGGCGTCATCTTATCTGCATATAGATAATAAAAATATGTATTATCTTTATATCTGCATATTACAAGTAGATAAAAAAAAGTACTACCTTTATTATATTATTTATCTACAATAATTTTCAGATAATTTTGATTTAGAATCATAGCACTTAAGGATACTTAAAGTAGACAGTAAAGCGATAAAAATTTATAACTAAAAATATGAATACATATATTGTTGTACCTTTTTCATAATTTATATTTCTTGTATAACTGTGTTTATACATAATCAGTCTTAAATATTATTATCTAAACATTTATATCTAAATAAATCGTCATTTAATTATATCTTTTTTATCTAAATATACTTATAACAAAATCATCTTTATCTTATCTTAGATGAATTTACACACTTTTATATCATCTTTATCCAGCTAATTTTAAAATAATCTTGACACAACACTATCTATCATTATCAAAAATTTATTACAATATTTTATGGTCGTATTTTAGATGGCCCTATGCGAAGAAAAGATATGAAAGACTTACACAAAAAAAAAAGAAAAAAGACATAAACTTTGTTACAATAAGCATAAATTCTGCGACACATGTGCGAGATTATTTGTCTCAAATTCTTTTGTATGATTATTATTACAATAATGGATCGAATCAGAATTACTTCGATAACTCATTTGCTAATGTATTGAAATTACAAAATAATGTAAAAAAATTCAGTGGTAATATCGATGATTATGTAGATAGAATGATATTGATAGAAAGTGAAATTGATTTTGAACATATACATAAGCCTATAGATGAGCTGAAATATATGTTTTATATTGAGGAGATTAAATACTTGTTAACACATTTTCCACAATAGGATCTTCATATATATTATAATGCTACTATTATTACATTTTAATGTATTTATTCATTAGTTAATACTTCAATATACATTTTTTAGAGATCGTAATTCAATCCAAAAATTTTGCAATATAGAAATGTCTCACTATGAGAAGCTATCTTCCATACGAAATGAGTTGGACAGATATATAAAGAAACCTAAAAGAGAACAGTTTTTGGAAGAAGTTTGTACTTTCATAGCACAACGTATTCAACCTCGGAAAGATGTATGTTACACGAATGTAAGTGCATCATTGGATACAATCGCACAAGAGGTACGGAATCGTCTCAGAGAGAAGCATCCAAACCATTCGATAATCTCCACGTCTGATGAAACTTTTTCTTATTGGAAAACCAACAATATCGAAGATAATCATTGGAATGAAACAGAAAGTACGCAGATTATGGATACACTCCAGGAATATATATTTGGCACCTTCAACATTCGAGCACGTATCTCTCCATTTTTACCAAATGGTATCAAATGTTTGTGTATAGATTATGTAAGTTATTATAAATTATAATATATATAATTATGGGCCATATATGTATACGTTATATGTTGTTTTTAATATTCTCTCGCTTTGATTAATTTGTCTTGTATTATACCTGGCACAGGTTTTACAAAGTAAATCTGGTAAAGATATCATTGTATATACAATACTAGCTTTTCGGACCGCGCTTCGCGCGGTCCTCAAAGCCTTTCTATTCGGACCGCGCTTCGCGCGGTCCTCATATAGCCTATATTAAATCCGTTTTAACACAAAAAATTAATTCTTTTTTTGTATTACCGCGAACTACTTCCACATTTGTTGTCCGATTTTCACGAAATTTATATCAAAATAAATGTTTAAATTTTTTTTGGGTGGGTGCGTGGGTAGATAAATAAAGTGATAAAAATTTGTTAAAATCATATAGTAGCCATCCCGGACAAAATTTGAGTACAAATTTCGAAAAAGTCTGTGAATAAATGTTTGAATGCGTGGGTGGATGCATGGGTGGGATAAAACTTAAAAGAACCACACAGCAGCTTTTTCAGAAAAATTTGCAACATTTTTGTACCAATTTCGTGAAAATTGGTCCATAAATGCGCATGCGTGTGGGTGAATGCGTGGGTGGAGGTGTAACACTTGAAAAAACCACATCGTCGCCATCTCCAAAAAATTTGCAACATTTTGGTACCAATTTTTACAAAAATCCGTTCATAAATATGCGATTGCGTGGGTGGATGCGTGGGTGGGAGCGTAAACTTAAAAAACCCACACAGCAGCTTTCTCAGAAAAATTTGCAACATTTTTGTACCAATTTCGTGAAAATTGGTCCATAAATGCGCATGCGCGTGGGTGGGTGCGTGGGTGGAGGTGTAACACTTGAAAAAACCGCATCGTCGCCATCTCCAAAAAATTTGCAACAATTTGGTACCGATTTAAAAAAAATCGGTTCATAATTATGCGATTGCGCGGGTGGGTGCGTGGGTGGAGGCGTAAACTTAAAAAACCCACACAGCAGTTTCCTCAGAAAAATTTGCAACATTTTGGTACTAATTTCGTGAAAATTGGTCTATAAATGCGTATGCATGTGGGTAAATGCGTGGGTGGGTGAGTGGGTGGAAGTGTAACACTTAAAAAAACCGCATCGTCGCTATCTCCAAAAATTTTGCAACATTTTGATACCATGTGTTCAGAAATATTGCAAAAAAAATTTTTTTTGCAAAAACATACCCTCCTCTGAGGAAAAAAAATAAAAATAAAAAAATTAAAAAAAAAACCCACAGCAGCCACCCCCGAAAAATTTGCAACATTTTGGTACCAATTTCGAGACAATCGGTCCACAAATGCGGAAGTAGTTCGGGTACAGACAGACAGACAGACGGACGGTGTTTATATATATAGATTTCATAGCGTGGCAAAAAGACTTGGTCTACGTTGCGATGTACTAGCTGTTTTTAATCGAATCTGTATATTTTGGAAACCAGAATTGTAAGTATAGATATATATTAGAATCGACATTATCATTATTTCTCGATAATCTTTTTTTTTTTATTATACGCTTCCAATATAATTTTTTATTATATAAATTTTTATAATAATTAAAGTAATATTTTAATTGTTTACAGTGTCACGAATAATTTAAAAAATGCACGATGTTTACACACACAAAATCATTCCCCTGCGTATTTTAGTATTGAAAATCGATCAGAACACATGTCTGAGAGACCAGTCGCAATAACAATTACAAAGGTTAAAAATTTCTTATTTATTACTTCTAATAATTTTAAGTTATTAACTGTAAGCATTTTTATATATTTTAACTTTATTGCCGTATGTATAAGGGAAAGGAAAGCGAGAGAGATGTTAATCTATTTTATTTATATTTTTGTTTACTTGTCCTTAGACGGTTTAGTTTTATTATGCGTTATATTTTTATTTATTTGTGCGACCGTCAATCTAATCTCTCTCGTTCGTAAGAATTATTGTTTTCGCGAGCACCGAACGATTTTGTGTAAAATTACTCCGATTGGTCCGGTACTTTGGGGTGGGAATATTTTAGACAAGCGAGTATAAAGGTGAGGATATTTGAGCGCGCGACACAGTTTGACACAGTCTGACAATCTGAGAAAGTACTTATTCTGGCGGCGTTACCAGCAGCTCCGGCGTCTGTATCGACTCTACAGTATATATATATATACACACATCGGATCGCAAATAAATACATTTTACTGGAACATAATATACATATATATATATCCTCACACACATCTTGACTAAATTATAATAAATTGAACGAGATCCATCCATCTGGCATAAATCTGAGGACCGCGAATCCAGTCAGCGACGAGGTAAAAAGGTTAGTGCTAATGCTTATAACGCGCTTAAAATTTACACATTATTTATTAAAAAAAATGAAAAATAAACAGAAAGGGAGAGGGGAAGAAAGATTGAAATATATTTCATAGTATAAATAATGTCGTAACGATACTAATAATTCGTACAAAGATTCGTATTTATAAATTGGATTAAGTTTAAATAAATTTAATTAAATTGAAATTAAAAATCTGAACATTCATTTAAATGTCTGCGCTGTATTTTTTAAATTTATAAATTCATTCTTTGAATTTATTATGCGGCGCATTTATCATGATGTGAATTGAAATATTTTAACTAATTTCGTTAGACAATCAAAAGAAAAACATAAATTTAATGGAATAAAAATCATAACAAAGTTTAATATAACTATAAACAAAGAATGTTTTCATCGTATCATTTATGCAGAAAATCTCTTCGATGGATGTGGCATTATTTTAAAAGGTATAATAAACAACGTGGAGCATGCGATATCTGTGATAAAAATTTCATCCTATCATCTATCGATACATCTGTGATATATCATATAAAAATAAAGCATAAAGAAATTTATACATAATGTTTCAAGTGTGCGGCCTTCTTATTCTATATCAGGAAATATGTTAAATTCAGATAATTTACAAAGACTTATACCTAAATTTTTATATATATCTAAAAATATAAAAAAAACATAATTGAAACACACATGCTTAAAACAACAAATATACTCCACACTTGGATATAAAACACATTTAAGGTCATTCTGAAACGCAAGATTTGCGACAAATTTAATAAGATAAATAATTCTTTTAAATTAATGATATTTATTTCAACTTCATAATATCTCTGCATATCTCCAAATGCTACCAAAGGAGTAAGTGAAAAACCGATAAATATAAATATTACTATTTAGTTTTTTTTTAGTGATTAATATAAACTTTTGAAAAATAAATGAACAAATATATTTAATGAATAAGAAAGTTAGTCTCGTAATAAACAAGGAATGCGAGCCGAACGCGAAGGTTTGTGTTTTAGATAATAAAAATTAATGTTTCCCCTATGTCTTATAATTGTGCACGAGGCACGAAATTTGCTTAGCATAGTGCTAACAATAAGACTATTTAGGAATAAATCTCAACTTGGTTCTCAATTTTAGAATCTCTATTTTAATTCCTAAGTTCCCGATTCAGCGACTTTTGGATCGATATATTTTGCTTTTTCTACATCTTTTTAGGGGGATCAGAGAAAAACATAAGAACTAAAATCTCGAATTGAGATTTATTCACAAACATCCGCGTTGAGTTCGCATAGTCTGTTCATTTTGAATTTGCATTTAATCTATGGAGTTTTTAAATTCTTATAGTTTAAATTTCTAGAATATATACACCCCGTATATACGCGCGAATAAAACTAAATAAAATTGTAGAATATTCTTATATAAACTATGTGCATACATTAATTATTAAATATTTGTACTGTAAGTCTAGAATTTTATTTTAGCTGAGAATTTTATATGTAAAGATTTAAAAAATGAAAAATGTAAATCTCTCTCTTACCCCTTCTCTCTTATCGAGATAATTTGACAATGCACAGCACTGGAGTTTATAATTGTAAAATATAAATACATAAATATTATTGGTAGAATTTAATAAAATTCATGATAATTTGAAATAATATTATTTTAACGTAGAAGACGGGCAACAAGAGCCAAATCGCGGATGACAATGCGTTATCCTAACTAAACAAAATCATCTTTATCCTATCTAAGATTAATTTACATACTTTTATCTCATCTTTATCCAGCTAATTTTAAATTAATCTTGACACAACACTAATTGTAAGTATCATTATCAAAAATTTATTACAATATTTTATGGTCGTATTTTAGATGGCCCTATGCAAAGAGAAGATATGAAAGTCTTACGGAAAAAGAAAAAGAAGAAAACCTAAACTTTGTTATAATAGGCATAAATTCTGCGACACAATTGCGAAATTATTTGTCTCAAATTTTTTTTTATGATTATTATTACAATAATAGATCAAATCAAAATTACTTCGAGAACTCATTTACTAATGTATTGAAATTAACAAATAATGTAAAAGAATTCAGTGGTAATATCGATAAATATGTACATTCTTTGCCTGAAAGTCGATTATTTCCTGATCGTCCACATAAGCCTCTAAATGTGCTGAAATATATGTTTTATATTGAGGAGATTAAATACTTGTTAACACACAATTTCCACAGTAGGATTTTCATATATATTATAATGCTACTATTATTACATTTTAATGTATTTGTTCATTAGTTAATAATTCAATATATATAAATTTTTATCGGTTCTCTTTATTGTTTCTCTACATTTTTTTAGAGAGATCAGAGAAAAACATAGAAACTAAAACCTCGAATTGACATTTATTCACAAACATCTGCGTTGAGTTCGCATAGTCTGTTCATTCTGAATTTGCATTTAATCCATGGAGTTTTTATATTCTTATAGAATTTATATTTCTAGAATATATACACCCCGTATATACGCGCGAATAAAACTACATAATTTTATAGAATAGTCTTAAATAAACTATGTACATACACCAATTATTAAATATTTGTACTGTAAGTCGAGAATTTTATTTTAGCTGAGAATTTTATATGTAAAGATTTAAAAAATGAAAAATGTAAATCTCTCTCTTACCCCTTCTCTATTATCGAGATAATTTGACAATGCACAGCACTGGAGTTTATAATTGTAAAATATAAATACATAAATATTATTGGTAAAATTTAATATAATAATTGATAATTTGAAATGAAATAATTAATTAATCTTAAATAATACAAAATATAAATACATAAAAATTTGTAAAATTAGAAATAACTGATAAATTTGAAAAAAATTTATTATTTTAATTAAGCTTATATAGAGAACAATAAATAAATAAAAAATGATAACAAAATAAATAATAAATAAATTATTTACCACGTTCTTTCAAACGCATAGGAAGAAACGGTAAATTTGCTAGTTCTAAATTACATTTTCTGCGCATGCCGTGGCAAGTTCTTATACCTATATCTTAGAGAAAACAAGCAATAATGCTTTAAAATTTAAGGTCAAATTTTATAATAAAGAACAGAACGTCTACAGTGTGGAAAACGTCTCTCGTGTACATCAAACACACATCTGTGCTCTTTGTAATCGGCAGACTCATTTCGTGTACTGCAAAAAACAAGGAATTACGCGAATAGTTTATTGCAATTACTTTAATTTACATTCCCTTTTTGTGTTTCGGTTCTCATAATGTCTGATTGGAAGATAACGTGCTTACCAGAGGAGATGATAAGCTACATTCTCAACGATAACGTACTCACTATTGAAGATATCATTAACTTTCGATGCGTATGCAAGCAATTTCGTTATGCATGCTCTATACATATGACAAGTTCTTGGAAAAAAAGTTATCTCAAAGGTAATTCTTGTGGTTTGTAAATCTTTTTGTTATTTTGTCTCATTAACGCCTGTCGCACAATGTATATCACTTCTGTGAAAAACGTATATTATAAATAAATAATTAATAAAAAATATTTGAAAAATTAGATATGTTGCATTTATGTTGTATATTAAATTATTCGCTTTCATTTTTTTCTATTGCTCAATAATTTTGGCAAACTCTACCGTTATATATATACATATATAATATACATATATATATATATATATATATATGGAATGTAAACGTTAAATATAATATACTGATAATAATTCTTAGTTTCAGCTACTTAAAATACTACATAAAAGTAACTTGGTTTATTTATTATAATGTGTATTCTTCAATATATTTAATTACATACATACACATAAGCACATTAATGTTTATTAATTGCATATAGAATACACTTACAGAATTATGCAATATACATATTAGAATCAAAATTTGAAAAATATAAATGTAATTACAAATTAAAATTGACTATTATATATTTTCTATTTTTGATTAAAGTATAAAAAAAAGTGACATATATATACTCATGCTTTCAATTGTATACTTTAAAAAATTTATTAATTTGAAAAATGACTTGTGCAATCACATTGTTTACTATCATCAAAGTTTGCTGTTTGTTATCTAAATAAAATTAAATAGAAGAACTGTGGCGTCATCTTATCTGCATATAGATAATAAAAATATGTATTATCTTTATATCTGCATCTTACAAGTAGATAAAAAAAAGTACTACCTTTACTATATTATTTATCTAAAATAATATTCAAATAATTTTGGTTTAGAATCATAGCACACAAGAATATTTAATGTAGACAGTAAAGCGATAAAAATTTATAAATAAAAATATAAATACATATGATGTTGTATCCCTTTTATAAGGGATCCTTATCTTTTTAGGATATTTATCCAGCTAATATTAAATTAATCTCGACACAAGACTAAGAATCATTATCAAAAATTTATTAAAATATTTTATGGTCGTATTTTAAATGGCCCTATGCAAAGAAAAGATATGATGTTCTTAAAAAAACAAAGAATGGAGAAAACCTAAACTTTGTCACAATAGGCATAAATTCTGCGACACAATTGCGAAATTATTTGTCTCTAATTCTTTTTCATGATTATTATTACGATAAAATATCAAATCAAAATTATTTCAATGATTCAATTAATAATGTACTATTGGAATTCGATTATGTAAAAAAATTCAGTGATAAATTCGATGAATATGCAAATCGTTTGAATGAAAATGAACTTGTTTTTAGACGTACACGTAAGCCTATAAATGTGCTGAAATGTATGTTTTATATTGAGGAGATTAAATGCTTGTTAACACAAATTCCACAGTAAAATATTCATATATATTATAATGCTACTATTATTACAAATTTATTGTATTTATTCATTAGTTAATAATTTAATATATATAAATTTTTTAGGAAAATTGATCGAAATTCAATCCAAGAATTTTGCAATATAAAAATGTCTCACTATGAGAAGATATCTTCGATACGAAATGAGTTAGACAGATATATACAGAAACCTGAAAGAGAACAGCTTTTGGAAGAAACATGTACTTTCATAGCACAACGTATTCAACCTCGAAAAGATGTATGTTACACGAATGTAAGTGCATCATTGGATACAATCGCACAAGAGGTACTGAAATGTCTCAGATTGAAGCATCCAAACCATTCGATATTCTCCACGTCTGAAGAAACTTTTTCCTATTGGAAAAGCAACAATATCGAAGATAATCATTGGGATGAAACAGAAAGTACGCAGATTATGGATACACTCCAAGAATATATATTTAGCATCTTGAATTTTCGAGCATGTATCTCCCCATTTTCACCCAAAGATATCAAATGGATTTGTATAGATTATGTAAGTTATTAGAGATTATAATATATATAATTATGGGCCATATATGTATATATTATATATTGTTCTTAATATTCTCTCGCTTTGATCAATTTGTTCTGTATTATACCTGGCACAGGTATTACAAAGTAAATATGGTCAAGATATTGTTGTATATACAATATCTTGACCATATATACTTTGTAATGCCTGTGTTATCATAACGTGGCTAGAAGACTTGGTCTACGTTGCGATCTAATAGATGTTTACACTGAAATCTGTATATTTTGGAAATCAAAATTGTTAGTATAGTTATATATTAGATTCGACATTATCATTATTTTTCGATAATCTTTCTTTTTTTATTATACGCATACATATATAATTTTTATTATAAAAATTTTCATATGATTAAGATAATATTTTAATTGTTTACGTCACGAATAATTTAGAAAATGAACGATGTTTTTACATAGAAGACAAAAATTTCCCGAATTGTCTTCATAATTATCTACCAGGTTACAAGTCTTGTGAAACAAATCATGACGTCATCAAAATAAGAACTGAAAAGGTTGAAACTTATTTATTACTTCTATTAATTTTAAGTCATTAATATGCTTGTAAATTGACAAGCAATTAATAAATTACATTATATGTGTGTAGAAAGAAAAGATACGTACATTTCTCATTTCTTACATTATAATTAGATTCTTGTTTACATTTAATCTTTTTTTATGTTTAATTAACTTTTTCAGATGTTGGTCATGATAAAAGATTTTGTTGAAACGTTTATATGGACACATAATAATCTATTTGGGATTAATGAATTGTAATGTGTAAAAAACATATGCGCACTAACATAATCGCTAGTTAGTAAATAACATATACCATTGTAAAAATAAAGAGCATTGTGAGATATTTTCAGATAACAATTATGTATAATTTACAATTTTCTATAATTTAACGTGTTTTAAGTGTTTATTGAGGCATTTATTCACAAAAAAATCAAAGTAAAAAATTTACAGTTTCTGTCTTATTTTAATTAGTAGAACACATAAATGAAAACGTGAAATATGCTGTAGAAATTATCATAATATATAATCCACCTACAGATCAATCTACAGATTCGGACCAACATAATAGATAATAGGATGTTATTGACACATACATATATACATACATGTTCGACAATTGAGAATCAACGATGAATAAAATATAGCTATTATCTTTCTGCGATATTTATTGTATTCAATTATATAAATAATAAAGTAAGAAAATTTTGTGACTGCAACAATTTGAATTGATGCAGAAGAATTAATAAATCTTGAAAATAAAAAAATTAATTAGTTTAATTACTTTTTTTAACACTTTCAATATATGCAGAATATGACGTAATAAATTTGCCATCTATTAATATGTATTATTTTGAAACATATATAATCGATAGTGTGTTGCATTTGTATAAGTATAAATAAGTATGTTAATAAAAGACAATGATTTTTATATTTTCAAATATACATAATTCTTTTGTATTGAAGGAGACGATAAAAGCTTATAAATGATATTAGATTTTGTATGATATTAGCATAATTTCAGATTTTGCAAAATGATCTCAATTTTAAAATCTCAATTTTAATTCCTCAGTTTCCGATTCAGCGACTTTTGGACCGATATATTTTGCTTTTCTACATCTTTGTAGGGAGATCAAAAGGAAACATAGAAATTAAAATCTCGAATTGAGATTTATTCACAAACATCTGCGTTGAGTTCGCATAGTCTGTTCATTTTGAGTTTGTATTTAATCCATAAAGTTTTATATTCTTATAAAGTTTAGATTTCTAGAATATATACACCCCGTATATACGCGCGAATAAAACTACATAAAATTGTAGCATAGTCTTATATAAACTATGTACATACATCAATTATTAAATATTTGTATTGTAAGTCAAAAATTTTATTTTAGCTGAGAATTTTATCTGTAAAGATTTGAAAAATGCAAAATGTAAATCTCTCTCTTTCCTTTCTCTCTTATCGAGAATATTTCATAATGCACAGCACTGGAGTTGTAAATTGTAAAATATACATACATAAAAATTTATAAAATTTAATAAAATAAATGATAACTTGAAATAAAATTATTTTAATTAAGCTTAAATAATAAATAATATAAATACATGGAAATTAGTAAGATTTGAAATAACTGATAAATTTGAAAAAAATATTATTTTAATTAAGCTTAAATAGCGAACAATAAATAAATAAATAATAATAACAAGAATAATTAATAAATAAATTATTTACCACGTTCTATCTTTCAAGTGCACAGGAAAACAAGGTAATTTTGCTAGTTCTAAATTACATTTTCTGCGCATGCCGTGGCAAATTCTTATACCTGTATCTTAGTGAAAACAAGCAATAAGGCTTTAAATTTGGATCACAATTCATAATAAAGAACAGACCGTCTGTAGTGTGGAAACGTCTCTCGTGTACATCAAACACACATTGTGCTTTCGTAATCGGCAGACGCATTTCTTGTACTGCGAAAAGCAAGGAATTACGCGAATAGTTTATTGCAATCACTTTAATTTACATTCCTTTTTGTGTTTCGTTTTTCATAATGTCTGATTATAAGATAACAAGCTTACCAGAGGAGATGATAGCCACATTCTCGGCGATAATGTACTCACTATGGAAGATATCATTAACTTTCGATGCGTGTGCAAGCAATTTCGTTATGCAGCCAAATATGACAAGTTCTTGGAAAAAAAGTTATCTCAAAGGTAATTCTTGTGGTTTGTAAATCTTTTGTTATTTTGTCTCATTAACGCCTGTCGCACAATGTATATCACTTCTGCGAAGAACGTATATATAAATATAAACAAATAAAAATATTGAAAATATAATGTAAAAATAAAAACCTAAATAATATAAAAACAGATAGAGAAATAAATATATATGTATAAAAGAAGACAAAACGCACAAATTTTATTCTTTATACTGATTCAATTAGTAAACTTATTTATTTATAGTTTATAGTAATTAAAAGTAATCTAATTTTTAGATCTTTTAGTTCAAATTAGCACATTGGCTTATGAATTTTATTGCATTATTTATAAAAATATAATATAATATGTAATATAATATATAATATAATTATATATAACATAGTATATTTAAAATGTATATATTAAAAATTAGATATGTAAAATTTATGTTGCATATTAAATTACTGTACTTTCATTGAATCACTCAAATTTAAATCTTTTATTTTATTATCGTATTTTATTTTACTTAATTATTTCTTTTATTGCTCAATAATAAATTTGACAAACTCTACCGTTATATATACATATATATATATATGTGTGTATATATATAAACATCAAATAATATACTGATAAGAATTCATAATTTTCAACTGTCAAAATTAAAAACCAAATATTTTTCGACCGATACTTGCCAATTGATGTTTGTCTAATTAATCACACATCGTTTCGACCACGGTGTTTCGACCATAATTTTGGTCCATCGCACACTTGACAGTACACTTGAGAACGACAGATATTCTATAAAACGTTGTGTGATTAATTAGATAAATATTAATTGGCCTGTATCGGTCGACAAAGATTTAGTCATTAAATATTTTCTTTTAGATTTTAATTACTAAAAATGTAACGTAAAATTAACTTTGCTTATTTATTTTAATGTGTATTCTTCAATATATTTAATTGTATTTAAAAATAAAGATTATATTTTTGATATATATTCGTGATTAAAACAAACAGGATTGATATTTTTTATCGGTTGTTTTAATAAATAACACTGAAATCATAATAAATAACACTAAAATCTTCATAAAAGTAAAAGCATGCCAAGTAACATTTATAAACACAGTCAACATTGAATGTAAATGTTTTCGGAAAAATTGTTCTAAAAATTATTTAAAAATTTTTAAATATACACACACGAACATTAATGTTTATTAATAGCATGTAGAATACACATATAAAATTACGCAATATACATATTACAGTCAAAATTTGTAAATATAATTTTAATATACTTTTAGGAATATGTAGTTCAAAAATAAAATACATATTTACATAAATAATTACAAATTTAAATTGAATATTATATATTTTATTTTTGATTAAAATATAAAAAGAAGTGACATATATGTACTTATGCTTTGAATTGTATACTTCAAAAATATATTAATTTGAAAAATGACTTGTGCAATCACATTGTTTACTATTATCAAAGTTTGCTGTTTGTTCTCTAAATAAAATTAAATAGAAAAATTGTGGCGTCATTTTATCTGCATATAGATAATAAAAATATGTATTATCTTTATATCTGCATCTTACAAGTAGATAAAAATACTACCTTTACTATATTATTTATCTAAAATAATATTCAAATAATTTTGGTTTAGAATCATAGCACATAAAAATACTTAAAATAGATAGTAAAACGATAAAACTTTATAAATAAAAATATGAATACATATATTGTTGTATCCCTTTTATAATTTATATTTTTGTATAACTGTGTTTACATAAGCAGTATTAAAAATTATTATCTAAAATTTATTTACATAAATCTTCATATAATTTTATCTTTCATTAGATATACTTTCAAACATACTTAAAACAAAATTATCTTCATCTTATCTAAAACAAATTTACAATTTTTATCTTGTTTTTATCTAGTTTATTTAAAATTAATTTTAACACAACATTGTATCTATATCAAAAATTTATTACAGTATTTTATGGTCGTGTTTTAGATGGCCTATTACAAAGAGAAGATATGAAAATCTAAATACAACAAAGGGTGGAGGAAACATAAACTTTGTCACAAAAACATAAATTCTGCGATACAATTGCAAAATTATTTGTCTCAAATTCTTTTTTACCATTATTTTTACAATAATAGATCAAACAAAAATTATTTCAATGGCTCAATCAATAATATATTGAAATTCGATAATGTAATAAAATTCTCGGGTAACATCAATGTATATGTAAAGCGTTTGCATAAAATATACTTTTTCTTGAGCCTACAGATAAGCTTATAGATGAGCTGAAATATATGTTTTATATTGAGGAGATTAAATGCTTGTTTACGCCATTTCTCCAGTAGGATCTTCATATATATTATAATGCTACTATTATTACAATTTAATGTATTTATTCATTAGTTAATAATTCATTATATATAATTTTTTAGAGGAATTGATCGCAAATCAATCGAAAGATATTGCAATATAGAAATGTCTCACTATGAAAAGCTATCCTCAATAGGAAATGAGTTGGACAGATATATAGAGAAACCTGAAAGAGAACAGCTTTTGGAAGAAATTTGTACTTTTGTGGCAAAATATATTCAAATTCGAGAAGATGTATGTTACACGAATGTAAGTGCATCATTGGATACAATCGCACAAGAGGTACTGAATTCTCTTAGAAAAGCATCCGAACCATTCAATATTCTCCACGTCTGAAGAAACTTTTTCTTATTGGAAAACCAACAATATCGAAGATAATCATTGGAACGAAACAGAAAGTACGCAGATTATGGATACACTTAAGAAATATATATTTGGCACCATGAACTTTCGACCATGTAGCTACTCACGTAGTGTAAACATCAAATGTTTGTGTATAAATTATGTAGGTTATAGATTATAATACATATATAATTATGGGCTATATATATGTATATGTTATATATTGTTCTTAATATTCTCTCGCTTAAATTAATTTATTCTGTATTGCACCTGGCACAGATTTTACAAAGTAAACATGGTCAAGCTATCATTATATTTGCAATATTTCATAGCGTGGCTAGAAGACTTGGTCTACGTTGCGATATAATACTTATTTGGCCTCGCTATTGTATATTTTGGAGACCGAAATTGTAAGTATAGATACATTAGATTCGACATTATCATCATTTTTCGGTAATCTTTCTTTTCTTCTTATACGCATACATATATAATTTTTATTATAAATATTTTCATAAGGATTAAAATAATATTTTAATTGTTTACAGCGTCACAAGTAGTTTAAAAATGCACGATGCTTTCACATAAAAGACGAGAATTTCCCGAATTGTCTTATTTATCATATATCAGTGTTCAGGATGCAAACAAATTGCTTTCGCGACCTCGCAATAACAACTAAAAAGGTTGAAAATTTTTTATTTATTATTTATATTAATTTTAAGTTATAATATACTTGTAAATTTACAAAGAATCAATAAATTACAATAAATATGTATAGGCTGAAGAGAAATGTACTGTCTCTCATTTTTAATTTATATAATAAGATCTTGTTTACATTTAATCTTTGTTCATGTTTAATTTGCTTTTTTAGATGTTGTTGATATTAAAAATTTCGTTGAAAAGTTTATAATGAATCATGAAATAACAGATTTGGGATTAGTCAAAGTAAAATGTATAATTTAAACAGAAAACGGATCATGAATTGTATTATATAATATATACAATTGTAAAAATATATTGAACTTTGTGATGCTTTTAGATAACAATTATGTATAATTTACAATTTTTATAATTTAACGTGTTTAAGTGTTTAGTGAGACATTTATTCACTATATGTATATAGAAAAAAAAAATGTAGAATCTCTCATTTTTTAATTTATAATTAGATCTTTGTTTACATGTCGTCTTTATTCATGTTTAATTAATTTTTAGATGTTGATGTTAACAAAAAATACCGTTATAGATTTTATAACGGAACATAAAATAAAAGCTTTGCGATTACACCAAATTAATTGTAATAGGTAAAGAACATACGCGCACTAACAATCGCATATTAGTATAATATATATACAATTGTAAAAATATTGAACTTTGTGAGATTCTTTTAGATAACAATTCTTTTAGATAACAATATGTATAATTTACAATTTTTTATCATTTAACGTGGTTCAGTGTTTATTGAGACATTTATTCACAAAAAATCGATTGAAGTACAAATTTTACAGTTTGTGTCTTGTATTTCGTTTTAAATAGTAGTACAAATAAATAAAAACGTAAAATATGCCGTATTTGCATGGACCAACCAATAACAGATGTTTTATTGACGCATATACATGTATATACATATATACGTTTCACCTTTGTAGATAAATACTATGCCCTATTTTTGTATGCAATGTCAATTGAGAATCAACGACGAATAAAATATATTTATTGTTCTCTGCTATATTTATTGTATTCAATTATATAAATAGGATAATCAGGTTCAGAATGAACAATGAGATGAGGGGGGCGAGATACTGGGAAGAAGAGGGGAAAAAAGGTGTAGTTATGCGGGATAGAAAATGAAACATGGGAGCATTGATAGGAGAATTTGGGGAGAAGGGGGAAGGAAACTGGTGGGAAAGAATGAAGGAAATACTGCAGAAGGAGGAGAAGGGGAAGGATGGATGAGAGAAATAGAGAAAAAGAGGGAAGAGGGAGAACGGAAGAAAGAGGGAGGGAGGGGGGAAAGGAGAAGAAGGATGAGGAGGAGAATGAGTGAGGTATGAATGAGGTGGTGGAGAATGTATGGGGAATCGGAAGCCGAAGCGAAGCGATAGGTAGGGACGGCTCTTTCTCTCTCTAAAGTAGTAGATAAGTAGGTTAAAGTAGAATTAGTTATTTGTAAATTAGATGTAAGAGTAGAGTTAAGATTAGATATAAGTAACATTGTAAGAGGTTGTAAGGTTGGGAACGCTCCTTCAAAGCGCCTTCAATCCCTTAGGGACGAATAAAGAATTGATTGAATTATATAGATAATAAAATGAGAAAAATTGTGATTGCAAAAATTTGAATTAGTGCAGTAGAATTTATAAATTTAAAAATTTAGAAAATTAATTGATTTATGAACTTTTTTTTATACTTTAAATATATGCAAAATATGACATAATTAAGATTTACAATTTATTAATATCTATTATTTTGAAACTTGTATCATCGATAGTGTTGCATTTGTATAAGTAAAAACACGTATGTTAATAAAAGGCAATAATTTATATATTTTAAAATATATATAATACTTTTGTGTTGAAGGAGACTATAAAAAACGTATTAATGATATTAGATTTTGTATGATATATTGTATGATAATTGCAGTATTTGAAAATTTGTGCAAGATTCAAGCAAGACTTTAAAATTTAACTAATTTCAACAAGTTATATCTTTCTTTTATGTAGAGGATCTCTTCAATGGATAAGGCAATATTTTAAGAAATATAACGAACAACGTTAAATATATATTAAATGTTATTTATTTCAATTTCATAATATCTCTGCATCTTTCCAAGAGCTACCAAAAGAGTAAATGAAAAACCGATAATATAAATATTATTATTTAGTTTTTTTTTTAGTGATTAATATAAACTTCTGAAAAATAAGTGAACAAATATACTTAATGAATAAGAAAGTTTGTCTCGAAATAAACAAGGGTATGCCATATTGTGACTCTGTATAATGACACATTGACTTGGCGGAATCTTGACTACTATAATATGATATCATATTGTAACTCTGTATATAAACACATTGACTTGGCGGAATCTTGACTACTCATCAATCTAAACAAACACGGTGAAACACACTACAATGATGAACTTACTCGGAAATATGCTTGATGATGAGGACTAACTTTTTGATGCTGGATAACATCTAATTGTTTCAATTCTCATGTCAAGCGGTTCTGACGATATTTTCAACTAATAATGTTCAAAGGATTGATGACGTGGAATGGACTTTCAACTTGTTCTACTAACAACAGTGAGCTCGTTTACATGTTTTTTTGACATAATTAAAAGTTTACCATCTCGGTTAAAAAAATGGTTAGCCGATTAGAAAATATCTATTTTAATAATGATATAAGCGTACCCAATATAAATCTAATGACTCATCAAACCAAAGATTCATTAAAAAATAGACTCTAATGCGTAATATTTCATAATTTTATTTAAAAGAATTTTTTATCGTTTTTTTTATATTTTGAAAAAGGCTGAGGTAACAGCCGAAACGTTTATTTTTTTTTTATTTTTTTTATTTTTTTATTATTATCATTGTATTTACTAAGAAATAAAGTAATTATGTGTTGACATTACATCTCTCACTAATTTAATAATGCTCGTTATAGTTGGCCCTGTCTTTCTAAATCTTAATTATAATATTACACGAGCTTGTTTTTTAATATCTAATTGTATTCTCTATTTTAATTCCTAAGTTCCCGATTCAGCAACTTCTGGACCGATATACTTTGCTTCTCTACATCTTTTTAGAGAGATCAGAGAAAAACATAGAAACTAAACCTCGACTTGAGATTTATTCACAAACATCTGCGTTGAGTTCGCATAGTCTGTTCATTCTGAATTTGCATTTAATCCATGGAGTTTTATATTCTTATAGAATTTATATTTCTAGAATATATACACCCCGTATATACGCGCGAATAAAACTACATAATTTTATAGAATAGTCTTATATAAACTATGTACATACATCAATTATTAAATATTTGTATTGTAAGTCGACGATTTTATTTTAACTGAGAATTTTATCTGTAAAGATTGCAAATAAAAAAAAAAGTAAATCACTCTTTTTCTCATTCTATCTTATCGAGAAATTTTGACAATGCACAGCACTAGAGTTTTAAACTGTAAAATATAAATACATGAATATTATGGTAAAATTTAATATAAAATTGATAATTTGAAATAAAATAATTAATTAATCTTAAATAATACAAAATATAAATACATAAAATTAGTAAATTTGAAATAACTGATAAATTTGAAAAAAATTTATTATTTTAATTAAGCTTATATAGAGAACAATAAATACATAAAAAATGATAACAAAATAAATAATAAATAAATTATTTACCACGTTCTTTCAAACGCATAGGAAGAACGGTAAATTTGCTAGTTCTAAATTACATTTTCTGCGCATGCCGTGGCAAGTTCTTATATCTATATCTTAGTGAAAACAAGCAATAATGCTTAAAATTTAAGGTCAAATTTTATAATAAAGAACAGAACGTCTACAGTGTGGAAAACGTCTCTCGTGTACATCAAACACACATCGGTGCTCTTTGTAATCGGCAGACTCATTTCGTGTACTGCAAAAAACAAGGAATTACGCGAATAGTTTATTGCAATTACTTTAATTTACATTCCCTTTTTGTGTTTCGGTTCTCATAATGTCTGATTGGAAGATAACGTGCTTACCAGAGGAGATGATAAGCTACATTCTCAACGATAACGTACTCACTATTGAAGATATCATTAACTTTCGATGCGTGTGCAAGCATTGCGTTATGCAGCCAAATATGACAAGTTCTTGGAAAAAAAGTTATCTCAAAAGTAATTCTTGTGGTTTGTAAATCTTTTTGTTATTTTGTCTCATTAACGCCTGTCGCACAATGTATATCACTTCTGCGAAGAACGTATATTATAAATATATAATAAATACAAATATTCGAAAAAGTAAATATGTTGCATATTAAATTATTCGCTTTCATTTTTTCTATTGCTCAATAATTTTGGCAAACTCTACCTCTACATTATACATATATGTAATATATAATATCATATATATATATATATATATAATGTAAACGTTAAATATAATATACTGATAATAATTCTTAATTTTTCAGCTGTCAAAAATTTAAAGACCAAATATTTTTCAACCGACATTCGTCAATTGATGTTTATTTAATTAATCACACAATGTTTCGACCACGGTGTTTCGACCATATAATTTTGGTCCTTCGCACACTTAACAGTAACACTTGAGAATAACAAAAATTATATGAAACGTTGTGTAATTAATTAAATAATATTCATTAGCCTATATATATATCGGTCGAATATATTCAGTCATTCAATGATTTCTTTAGATTTAATTATTAAAAATACAACATAAAAGTAACTTGGTTTATTTATTATAATGTGTATTCTTCAATATATTTAATTACATACATACACATAAGCACATTAATGTTTATTAATTGCATATAGAATACACTTACAGAATTATGCAA